TCAGGAAGCTTGTGAGGCCAGTTGTGCAGGTTGTGTGCGCGTGTAGAATAGCTCCATGATTCGATGCGCTCGCTGCTGGTCGCTCAGACTGCCAGTCCAAACAGTATACCAACCCTAAAATCGAGTAGCGTGTACGGCTCTAGCCGTATCGAACGACCATCCATGTCACCCTCCCAGCTACCTCTGGGTGGCGAGCAGAAGACGCGGATCTGATGTCGAATCTGATCGACAGCGTGTCACCAACGGCGCCTGCAGGATATGCTGGGCTGCAAGCCTGTGAGCTTCACCCACCATTTCGTCATCGGAGAGAAGGGGTCGAGTTTGGAACATCGACGGTCAGAAGGTAGTCATCCAAGCGCCAGAGCTGGCACGCGCCGCAGTGCTATTGAGACAAATCGTCGTCCCTCAAGTTGTATGGGTAAGGTACGGGGTCCAGTGAAACGTGAGACGAGCGATGAGGCGTTTGGAGCTGGAGCCAGCTTCCCTCGTCCTCCCGAGTTCTGAGTCTTTGGAGGACCATTTGTGTGGCTCTGCTACGTCAGGCTGGCCTTTATGCAGCATGGTGAAGCACACAGTCCCGGCCGCATCTCCGATCAAACAGAATTTGGATCCATCTTGTGGCAGGGAGACATCTTTCTTGAGCAACCGTCCCAAATCCTGCTCATTCACACGTTACTATTCACTCAGTCGGGCGTTACGCCAATGGCCGTTCCTTGTCGCTATTCGGTGGCTCGAGTCACCGAGGCCGTGGTGTCGCAGCAGTTGACGCATGCTTCGGGGGCCGAAGTGTAATACCCAGTGGACGCAGACTGCGTAGTCCGTCCTGGAACTGGCAGGCTGACGTACGTCCAGACGCGGAGTATTAGCGCGGCTCGTACTTGTCTGTCTGTCCATCCATGGCGGCGGTGCATGAGTAAAGGCAGAAGCCATAGACCGCACATTTGAGTCTCCAGAGAATTGCGATTTCCATACCAAAGCCATTGTTCCTGCTACAAGCTTTGGAAAGCAATTCGGTCTTGGTTTCGCTCACAAAAAAATGGGGCCCTGTTGGGAGATCCGGCTGATAGGAAATAATCCCAAAGTCTGTGGGCTGGTTCGCTGATGGAAAAGACCTCCAGTACAGTGAAAAGCCTCGGCATGGTGCACGCCAATAACAGTGCTCGTCGATTTTGGTTCGAGGGCACTTGTGGCGCTGTGTCCGAGGGGGGTTCTTCCCCATATGCCACTTGTAAACTCAACTACGCCACACTCCTTCGTGCACTGGTCTGGTTCAGGCGAGAGAATTCCATCTGACAGGCGAGGGGTGTAAGCCGAGCGGCACGGATAGGACCGTGTTCAACCAAACTTTGTGTCCTTCTGGGCCATTGTGGCAAACCTCTGCCAGCACTCTTGAAGAATTGTCTGGGCCAGCAGGATGAGAAGCCGGTACCGACAGGACAGTTCGCAATAAGATTTTAAATGGAGCCTTGTTCGAACAAGACCATGACGTTGGCAAAAAGAAATTTCTCACAAGGCGGGAAGACGTCGGATGTATTGTGGCGCGGGTCTTGTACCATGTATGGAGCCAGAGACAGCATTGGCAGCCGTCGGAGTTGCATGATCTTACACCTGGACAGGGGATCGATCTAGCTGGTATACATGTGCTGTAAAGGTGCGTGTGTTTGGTTTTCGCTCAGCTCATCAAGGATGTATGGGGGCTATCGTTTGAGTGATCGACTGAGAAGGTTGACCGAAACAGGAAGCCGTCGAATGCGAGGGATGGATGATTTCCATCGTTAGGCGATCATTTCGTCTCGATTCCAGTATGGCGTCGGAATGTCGGGCAGCTCATAGGACGATCAGCGTATTCCATATTCAAATGGCCAACTTGGGATGACTCGAACGAAGTTGGAGATTCAAGATGGGAGTTTGGCAGCAACGGGGGACTGGCGAAAAGGGAACGACAGGCGGACAGGCAGGCAGGCAGATCCTTGTATCCCAGTCAAGGCAAGCTCGGTGCAGGAAATCTGAAACGACGCGACACCAAATACTCTCCTACCGAGAGACCACTAGCCCAGAAGAGGAAGTACACTCCGGGATACTTTCTTCTTGGGGAAAGAACGATCAACTCGTGGCTTGCTGGGCTTGCTGGGCTTTCTGGGCTTGCTGAGAAGACCCCCCCTTCTTGCTTGGTAGCCTGCATGGCACCTACCCAGATTATTCTGTCAGTCTTTTTCCTCGCTGGTGGAAGCAAGAGACCCCCCGATCTTCTTTCTGGTCAGAGGGAAGAGGGGGGCTGATGAGGTTGCGAGATCCATCCAAAGACACATCTATGCCTTTATGCAGCATATCTACGGCACACAACACCAGGGCCGACTTCATATTGAAA